AAACATACATGATGATGATGCATAATGTATGATTTGCAGTCTGGATACTGTACACAAGTCTCCTTATGAATGTCACGAGATATTGTTTATGAAGTATTAAGCTACTAATTAACAGTGAACCTTTTCTCTACAGGAAGCGAAAAGCCGGTAAATATACACGATTACGAAGAACGATGTTTCCGTGTCGGAAAGGGTTCTTTCAAACCCCCTATACGTCTGCCAACACCTTGATCAATACATGAGAAGGTAACTTTCGCATGAGTAGAGGGCTACCGTAATTCGGAAAGGCATCATATGTGATGCTGCTATAATCACACATATCACATCAAACCGTAAACCCAGCACACCGAAATGATGCCCACTGTTTTGGGATTATCGCAGGCAGGGTCAACCGTCACGTTCGAACATTTTCGGGATTTTTGCGACCCCCCCCTCTCGAGAGGGTCCAGTTGCGACCCCTCCCAACACACAGTTGCGACCCCCCAATACAACCAGCCTTCCTCCACCGCGACCTCTCCCTCTTCTATAGTATTTGACTTCTCAAGAAAGAAGTGACGCCGAGCGGAAGGGAGGGAGATCGGGGGGGGGGGGGATAGAACTAAGTGAAACGGCAAACCTTTTTCACACGTCGACCTATGCGCCTGCGCCGACGCCCGTCTGATCACCAAAGCGCCGCAATTGCGTAACGCACCCTGCGACCCCTCTCCCGCCCTCCCAGAAGCCAATCAATCGCCGCCCTCCCCGTTCAAAACCAGTTGCAAACGGACGGTTGACCCTGATCGCAGGTCCCTCTGAGTTGGTTACACGCTCCAGTTTTGTTCCCCATAGGCTCTTCATTTTTATTCAAGCCTAGGTTGTTATCTTCACGGAAGACAATAGAACAAGAAGGATAGAATTGAGCAACAACGCAGTAGTAAACGAGTATGATTACTACACTGCTCTTCACAATTATACAGTCACCCGTGAGGTGTTTTACAGTATGTCTCGAAAGCATTCTCCGTAGAGAAAGCGTTCACGTTCAATCGCAGGCTTGCGAATCAACATGCTTGCTCGAACATGGTAAAAAAAGAAATTGCACTTTGTTTTTTTTTTCTTCAAGAGAATGCCTTTTCCTGTTATCAAAAAAATCCATGCATCACTCTTGCACGCTTCTCACTCTTGTTCAGGTGCCATCGAATTTCCTTCAGATATTCGCAAAAGGATTTCGCTGTAACCCTCTGAAAGAGGGCAAGTCATCGCAAAGAAACAGCAAGGAAAATTGTCAATCGCTTGAAGGAATGCTTCACGGAAAAATCGCGATTTTACCTCATAAATCACTGACTTGAGACCATCATAAACGATAAGAATGAAAAGAACAGAAAAACTTGCATTTGTTTTGGTAAAAAATTCGAAAAACCGAAAGGGCTGCTACGCGTTCAAAGTACCGCCGGACATCTGTCACAAATGCTGGCGACGGGAATGCTTCCCATTGGTTCTTGGAGTGCCTCTAAGAACCATGTGAAAGGCTTTTTCAGGCCTCTCAACTTACTACATTTTCATCTCACACTTCTACTCCCTCCTATTTTATCGATTGATTTGTCTCTCCCAAAATCGCGCGCTATATTCCGAATCTTACATTGCGTCTCCTGATTATGGTATCCGAACCAAGCCAATCTTTCCATGCCTCGCTTGGCTCTGCCCGAACTCCTTCGATTGTCCAAAGAGTGTTGTTTTTGTTGAATTGTTTCTCTTCAGAGAATGAACCTTCGTGCGTGAAATTTTGTGTGCTGTTTCCACAGTGATCACACACTGATACGTTCATGCTGATTAAGAATGCAAGAATTTTCCGCTTAAGATTACTTGAACTGCTCGAAATTTGGTTCAGATTCAAGTAGGATGGACAAATCCATACACATCATGAGTTCTTTGAGGTTGCGCCACACATTCTATTTCTGCTAATAATGGTATGTCATTTTGGAGGGTAACTGGCCCCTAATCTGATGGTGTAGCAGTTGTTTTAATGTTTCAGTGTAGCCCAAATATTGGGAATCTAACCCAATATGTCCCGAATCGAGCCCATCCACTCCTGAATGGAATACTTAGGATAATAACTTAACAGAGCTTAGCTTTGATTGAAGAGTACCTTTAATCAAGTGTGAGCTTTTGGTTAAAACAACCGCATCTTCAAGAACAAAGTAAAAATAGAGAGAGGCAATTTTACAACAGTTTTATTCCAAAAAAAGTAAAGGAAAAAGAGGGTAACTTCATTGCTCGCCACGATACAAGCCAGTCCACGGGTTGCACCATTGTCTAAGAGCAAGGTTCATACTAAGGTAGCGTCTCACGGCCTGATCGCACCTCCTGCAAGTCGAATATCGTTCGTATGAAAAGGAGAAAGGAATTAGAGGATAACGTCTTCCCTATTTCTTTTCCCTTACCGCAGAGACCTGTTCATAGAGAAGCTTGACTCTCTCGAGCTCGCGCTTAGCAGCTGCCATTTCGTCCGCTCGTCCTTTGATGATCCTGGATCCCGGTTATCACTTGCATACAAACTGGTCGCAGCGCATCTGAATGAGGAGCCATGTTGCCATTCCTATTTTGTGCCTCCTCACATTGCGGGCGCTCGGGCATCGGGCTCTGCAAAAATATAGTCCTTCCAATGATCTCCAAGAGATTAAACTAACGTTGATACCAGCATTCTCGGATCCACGCCATGGTCATTGTTCTCAAGCCTTTCTCCTCGCGATGGCATCACTCTCCTTTAGTATGTGTAGCGCTCTAGAAAGAATGAGCATAAAAATACCATAAGCAGACCTACCGATGTTGAAGCAAATCAGCTCAACCAGAGCAAAAAAGGGAAAATGGATTTAGCCGAAAGGTTGTGAGGCAGGATCAGACCTGTCTCAACAGTCGAACTAGACCACAACTGATTCACAAGAACCCAAAAAGTTTCTGGTACTAGGCTACGCCCACTACCAGATGTCTCTAATCTCTAAGCAAACATTGCGCCTTCTAGGTCCTAATGCAAATCCTATCACCAGGCTCAATAACAACAGACGCGTGAAAGGCGAAGGAACATAAAACACCATACAAAAGCAGAAAGAGCGATTAGCTAGTAACCAATTCCCCTTTGGCTAGCTAGCCAATGGAAAACCTAACCAATGTTTCGTACGACGTGTTAGTGCAAGAATCGACAATAATAGCACATTCAATGGGGTTCGTACACAGAACTTCAGGGAGGTTTTCAGGTACTGTATCGCCACTGGACCGTAGGAGGGGCCACTGACGGTACTCATGCTCGGGGGATGAAAGGTGGACCGCGCCAGCGGCAATCCTTAGGTTCCATACTTGTACTTGGCTACATACTTGTACTTGACTACACAAGTATGGTACCTCCTGTGGTGTCATATCAAGAGATACTACCCTTACGCATGTGCTAATTTAAGAAAATTGAATCCATTTTGTCATTATTCGTTCTTTGGAAAGACTGTAGGTTCTTACCCACGAACATCCAACAAAATGCTACATACTCAAGGTGTGCATGGTCCACACGGAATGCCATCTATGAGTAGAGAATTGTTCTATAAAGTCTCCTGCATTAGATGTAAATGTTCTTGAATCCTCCAGGGACACTCACCCATACAATGCGTAGGATGATACGAGATACGAGATGTAGGACACGGCAACCACTCTGTATGCAATTTGACCTCTCCAGTTAGTTGCGGAATGTACAGCCCAATGGTTTTTCATTCTTTTCAGACATCTAGTAGCAATTATTTGACCCTTGGGGAATAAAAAACGAGCTTTCCGTGGCATAGCAGCACACAATTGATTTGTCCCGAGCGTTCCACGTGTGGTAAAGTGTGCAACTTACACTGCACCACTTCCACACACCCGAAAATGCTTAGGCTTGCTTAGCAATTTCTCGAACGTCCTGCCACCTTGTGAAAGTGAATAAAGCTTAGGATGTCATTCTTTGTTTTCTGAGCCACGCGTTTTGAAAGAAAGACTTAGAGGCGATTCCTGCCTTATTGAGCGGGCAAAGGTAAAGCCCTCTCTGGCTTGAGCAGATATACTATGAGTGAGACCGGCGAGGAAGTGCGGCAGAAGGGCGAATCGTCGGCGCGTGGACGAACCATTTCTAGAGTTCCTCCGTGCCTTTTCTCGCGTGGCCGGCCCCATGCATGCAATTCCTGTCTCTTCACTAAGTAGGTTTCCCCTTCTTCAAACTTCGGCCATATCGTGGAATGCTTCTTCAAGAGCACCGTTGAGCTCGGAATTATGATCTTCTTCGAAGGCTTATCGGATGATGTTTAGCGTGTGCTTAAAGAAATCCGACAATCCCGGGAAGGTTAACGAATCTTGCTCGCTTGTAAGAGCCATCACAGAGCCGCTTCACGCCAAGTCGAGCAAGATGAATTTTTGCGTGTTTGCCCTGGTTTAGAGCGGAAGGGTGGCAAGGTGCAAGTGGTATCCGGTCACACACGTGACCCGATCGGCGGGGATCAAAAATCCTGGTTCGTGCGTCGCCCAGCGCCAAACAAAGCCCTCCATCTCTCCGGGCCAGGGTCAACCCTATCGTTGTTACTCTTTGGAAATTTTTTACGACCCCCCCCCCTTCATGGGTGATTTGATACGACCCCCCTTGTATGTAACACTTGTGTAGAGACAGTGTTTACCATCAATATTTATTGCTACGTAAGTCCCTTTGGCCTCCTGACGGTGGAGCGCATTTGCTCACGGTGAAGAGGCGTCGAACGGGGAGTGTGAAAATTCGAGGAGTTTTTCTTTTTACATTTCAGGTAGTTCGGAAGATTCAGGTGGATTTTGGATCGGACGTGGCTCCTTCTTCCTCACGAGTGCTCATTTGTTCTCAAACACTTCGGAATGAATAAGTTATTAGGCAAAAAATAAAATTGAAACACAATTTTTACACTCCTCTTTCTAGGGCTATAACTTCCTTCATATTCGAGCTTCTGCGCCGAAGTGATTTGATTTGGAAAATTCAAATTATTCTCTCTCCAACCATGGTAAAAATTCTTCGAAAGTTAATTTAATAAAAATTTAGTACGTTGTTACTTTTTTCTGTGCAAAGCGACTTTTTGACCTTCAAATGATCATAACTTCCTTCAAAGTCATTCATTTGGGAAGCTGAACACGTATAATAAACTACAGGATTCAAGCTTTCTAACGAGCACCCAAGCGTTCCTGAATTCAAAAATTAGTCCCGTTGTTACTTTTTTGGGGGTTTGCGTTACTATTTTTTTGGAACCGCGACTTTTTTACCTTCAAACGATCATAACTTCCTTAAAAGTCATTCATTTGGGAAGCTGAACACGGTATAATAAACTACAGGTTTCAAGCTTTCTAACGAGCACCCAAGCGTTCCTGAAAGATCAGTAGTTCAAAAATTAGTCCCGTTGTTACTTTTTTGGGGGTTTGCGTTACTATTTTTTTGGAACCGCGACTTTTTTACCTTCAAACGATCATAACTTCCTTCAAAGTCATTCATTTGGGAAGCTGAACACGGTATAATAAACTACAGGTTTCAAGCTTTCTAACGAGCACCCAAGCGTTCCTGAAAGATCAGCAGTTCAAAAATTAGTCCCGTTGTTACTTTTTATTTTGAGGGGTATTCTTCAAGCCATTTTCTCGAAAACGCGAGTTTTCTTAGGTTTCACTGCCCGTAACTTCTTGGAAGACCAATTTTATGTTTAAGGATGTGCTAGGAAGCTTCCGAGCATGCGCTTGCACTACATCCCTTGCCTTGGTGCGCGCCACGCCTCGGGCGCCCGCTCGATTCGCTGACTCATTTGAAAGCTCGTTTAGAAGGGAGCGTGGTTTATAGATGCTCTAGTTTCAGTCATCTTGCGCAAACGTAACGTGCTGGCTATTATCCATGTTTTCACAGGCAATAGTTTCATAGTGGTAATCAGCAGCAGAATCCTCACTGCCGGCCACCGAGAGGGTACGACCCCCCTCCGAGCTCAACTGAGTACGACCCCCCCGTTGTTACTCCGGGCCAACCAAGCCTTCCACCTGCTCCGGGGTCGGTTAATTGGTACCAGACTTGTCTGGGAGGATAAAAACACTGACTTGTACATCGGCTGGCCCCCGCAAGTCATTGTATAGGCCACATCGCATTCAAACGCCACTACGAATGTACAAATGGAAGTAGAATGCGTGCCGCATCCCAAAAAGGGATTGATCAACGGCAAATGCTTTATCCTTTGCTTTTATGGGGCCCTGGTTGACGGTAGATTCATTTTATGGCTAGTGTTTCCCTTCAGAGGTGAGTTTGCAAAGATCTGAAGAGTCTTTATGCAGAGAGAAAAACCAGCCAAACCCATGGCAGAGCAGCTTTCCACGCAAAAATCGCTACTGATGCAGTTCGCTCAAATGTACTTTTTTGCCGACTGACTCGATTCTATGATTTTTTGGGGTTCCTTGTCGTGATACTCTACATATATGGAGTTTATGCCTCTCTACTTAAGTTTTCTGAAGTCTAATTTTTATCATAGCGCAATCCACAGGATCAGGTCAAGACATCTTTCTTCTTTCGTGGGAGAGTTGCAATAAGAGCGATGGTCAATGCTGGATGCTCCCCGAACACATACGTGAGATGAGCACTGAAGAACCTCCGATTCAACGAAGCGGTGACACATGATCGAGACGAAACAATTGCTTGCACTCAACAGCCACTAAATGTGTCTCAATAAATTTGTTGATTATCATTTGCTAGACATCTTCGTCATCGCCACTCAAGCAACTGTTTGTGTTTGTCATTCAGGAAGTGACGAATATATAACTAGAAAGCTTTTGTGGAAACAGTTTGAGGTCATGGATGTGTGCCAAGTGCACGTACTAAATACTTGCGAAACAGTTAGAAGGCAGCGATCGCTCATGACTGAATACTTCTTGCTGACCAGATGTGGAAGTAGAGTGGTTAGAGGGGCTGAGGCAGGTAACCAGCCAAAAAAAAACCTTCCCAGCACCCAAGAAGTGAGGAGCTCGTACTTAATTTTGAGAGCGGACTAGCGTGGGTCTAGATCACAGGCAGTGTCACCCGTCACGTTCGCACTTTTTGCAAAACTGCGACTCCCCCACTAACATCAGAAGGCTACTCCCCCTTCCCATTGCAATCCCCCTACTCCCTTCTGCGAATAGGAGGGGGAGGGTAATGAATTAGGATGATGAAGCGGTGGATCACCCAATTCCTGCCTTATTCTGCACGGTACTTTCGCAAAAATTCACCAATTCGTAAAAACTCCGTCAAACCACACCGCTCTGCGCGACCTCCATCACCTCCGTCCCCCACCCCCTGTCAACACTCTCGTTCCAAGATACCGGTTTGGACCCCTCGTTCGAATAGTGCGAGGTCGACCCTGTTCACAGATGCGGCATGCGTATGGAAACATTACTGAGCTTCAGTAGGTACCATTAAGCGTGACATGATCGGGTCAAAAAATGAAGTTATTGCATTGTTTTGTTCTTCTGTGCCACACGAGGGCACAGAAGAACAAAACAATGCAATAACTTGATTTTTGGCACAGAAGAACTAAACAATTCGAGCAATAATGCCGAGGTTCCAACAAGGGATAACGTGGAGGCTATTAGAAGTTATTGCAATTGATACCTTGTTATCCGTGGTTCCAAATTTCCATTCGTTAAGTCTTTTCGCCTCACCGGCATGAAAAAAATAGTTGTTGATTCGGAAGTTTCGAGTTGAAAGTTCAGAAGAGATGTGTCCAGCATCCGAGGCGGACGTCACTCGGAACTGGTATCATAGTCCAGTAACGGCTTGGAGTAATATATTCCCCACTTTTCGTGCTCCTTTGAGTATTGTAGAGGTGAGGGCAAAAACTAAGGTTAGGTATTTCCAACGGCAAAACATCAAAGGGAGATGTGAACAACTAAACTGCTTGTGGTTAGAACAATTGGGAAAATTATAGGCGGTCTGCGGGCTCACTCACTAAATTTTGTAGAAAGCTGCTGGTCTCGAACCAATTTGTTCGACTTTGTAGCGCAAACCTGGCCAGCTAACTTCCCTTTGATCGCAACGGATTATTCAACATCAGAAAGAAACCAAGAAAAAGTAGATCACTGCAGTATTTAGCTTCAATGTTGCCATTGAAGCTAAATACTGCAGTGATCTACTTTTTCTTTGGTTTCTCTGAAGGAAACAAATTTATCAGAAATATTAAATTCAATCAGAAATACCAAATTTCAGGGATGTCAAATTTATGAGCGCTATATAAAGAGGAACAATCAAGTATTGCTAACAATAAGATATGGTCAAATTCTGCTAATGATGATACCGCTCAATCCTTTCAGGTGCCGTATTCATGCCGCGTCCTTTGGAAGACTAACTATAAGGTTATAGGAAGCGATCACGATAAAGAGGGATCTCATCGGGGAAGCATGTGCACCGCACGAATCAGTTACTTGGTTGCCAGGGAAGTGAGATGTGATGCACACTCAAGAAGGCGCTCTGCCCGAAACGATTCCGCCCCACTGGTCCGTACTGTGATTAAGCAAAGCGATCCGCCCACTAGTTTGTTGATTTGGACGAGCTGCGTGGCCAGCAGCGGCGCAAATGGAGCATCTCGATTAAGCGTGTTTGGCATGGTGCCATCAAACGCGTTGCGGTGAACTCGTTCATACGTCCACTTTCTGAGCTGTTACCTGTTCATGAGTGAAAACCAACGGCCAAAAAGGGGTCCCGTTTTGCGTTTTCTTGACGGATTTTCTGCTTTTTTCGCTACTGGCGTACCATTGAGCACCACCACGTCACACTAACCCTTCTTGAATTTATCGCAATCGCTGCCTTTAACATTTCAGCTCCGCCACTTCGATGCATGCCCGATCCAGCGATATGTAACATGTAACCTATCCTCCTTTGCTGACGTTTATCCAATTTTTTCTAAGTCTCTCTTCTTGGAACCACATTACGAGGACATGGAGAGAACTCGACCCGGTTAAGGGCACACGCTTCCCCTCTTTCCCCATAGTAATCGAGCCACGCTCACTTCAAGGGTGTTTTGTACTTCCAAGGCTTTGCCATCACCATTCTTCCTACTTTCTGTCTGGAATTCAATTTTTTTAAAATTTAATTCATGACTCGGTCATAAAACGGTACTTTCTGTACCGTTTTATTACCGAGTCATGAATTTTTTTTCACCAAGCATCACCTAATAGCGGGACGTTCTCCTCACCTCCCCACACGCCCATGGGTGTTTTCCATGCCTGATCTCACATACTGTTCACGCATTTACCCATTTTTTCGGTCTCCTATGACCATACTAGAAAATTAGTTTTTTGCACCGCCTACTATTGTGGCCCATGGTAGCCATGGGCGGGACTACGCTTGAAGTGAAGAGTGGTAGGTCGAAGTGGTTATTTGAAATGAGATGAATACCACCTGATGTGTCTTCAGACGCTGATTCAAAATCTGTCATGATATCTGCCAAAAATGCTGTGCACAATGTCACGAGGGTTTTCCATCTGGGGGATTATACCTAACGACTAACGATTAGGGTCTGCAGGACCGATATCAGGAGATCGATACCCGCACATTTTTGTTCGCTTGTACTCCAAAAATTAGGAAGTAGATCACCGTTATTTGCTTTGGGAAAACGTCTTAGATTTCTGTTGAAACGATTCATTTCAACATTTTTCGGGCTTCAAAGGGACCTGATCATCCATTTTAAGTCATGTAGGCAATGACAGGCCAAGCATTCTGCCTAATAGTGGCACAATCAGCAGAGGGAAAGTATAAAACAGGGTCCCATGATGGAATCGCCGATATCACCTGTGAAGTAGAGATGATGTGTTGCTTTTGAGGATGACTAATCAACCTGCTTCGTGAAACCGCCTGTTCCTCGTCTCAAGTCTGCCAGAAATTCTATCCTGTGTGATGGCTTCTGAGCAATCACGTGGACGAGCAAACATCATGTTGCACGGGTATGTTTTGCGTCAAGGGATTGACTCGATTTAATCACATCAGCTGTTGGCAAGAGCCGTGTGATCGGTCGCTTTACCTGGCTTGCTCCACCGCCTCCCACCCTTGCCCTCCGAGTCTCTTGGTTAGCGTTATTTTAATGCGTAACAGATCCCATTCGAATTTGCCTAATCCGTTAGAGGCTTCTTTGCTTGGCAAATTAAGCCTCACAGCTTCTTCCTCACTCTCATCTACCATTTCTATAGTCACCACGAATAACGGCGTCCTCCTGACAACTGACGTTGAATTGTAATTTTATTTCCTTGTTTTGAGGGAAGCTTCATGATCATCACCACTGAATAGTTTTTCGCCTGAGATTATTTTATTAAAGAACTTGCGTGTGTGTGAGGGGCGCGTAGGGCATGACAGCGTTGTGGTTTGGCTCTCATGAGGTGCTTAAGCAGCTTGCACGAAACGTCGCCTTGGTAGTAGACTGCTTGGTCTTCTCTCTCGCCATGCGCAGCTATGAAGTTTGAAGCTGCACTGTCCGGTAAGGGTGAACTGTGTGTTGAGAAACCGCTTGCATGAAGTGTATCCTGTGTTTTCTGGGCAGGACATAGACGGTGATATCAGAACTCGTGGAAAGATGGAAAACGATTTCAAATGAACTTGCGGAGTACCAAGTGAAAATCCGCCATTGGTTTCGAAAAATTTCCAAGAATTTTCAATTTCATGAATATTCCCCAAATTGTTTTGCAGTTGTGTAAATATCTCCCCTCACGCTCAACCCATCGCACTTGACGAACTTCAGGGAGCCGAAAATTAGTACTGTAGCCTTTTCTGTAGGGGGCCTTTTCAATAAAAGGGGCAGCATCGTAGATCATAAGAAGCAAAGAGAACCTTATTGACTAGAACTTTTTCTCAACGCACGTGAAGTTCATGTGGCTCCGTTGCTGTCCTATGTACGAAAGCCTCATTCGAATAATGATCACTAATGGAGGTCATCTCAAAACGTAATCAACAAGCTTTTTAAACACGCACTCACTTACTCGACATGATATAGACGGCATTGCAAACATGAGTTATCATATCCATTACTAAAACACCCGTAGAAGGGGGGTCCTGTATTCTAATTCAACAGAGAATCGCGTGACAAATCTTTGCATTTCAAGAGTCTCGACGCTTCAATATTCGTAGCAACACAATGACGCTCTAAGATCGCCGCCTCAATTACACGGCACCATGCACACGATTGGCAAACACTCAGTAACTCGTAAAAATAGACATTTATCAAGACAAAAAAACTGTGAAAAGGGTGAATACCACAGTGCCGGCGGTCTTCGTGTCACACTCCGAGCTTTTTTCATCAGTTTCTTAATCAAAGTTTATTTGTCCACCGCCGACGCTCACCGACAGTGATCCTCATCTGAGTATCTCCATTTGCATGAACTTTGAAACGTCAACTTGAAATGCCACACACAACTCATCATCTCCCATGAACACACTCGTAACTAGAGACCCCTTTTCTGTATTTAGAGGCCGTTCAAGAAAGCATAAACCCTGGTTCTGTGGTCGTCCCCCACAAACTTGCGCCTACTCATACACAAGAGCCAACTTTTACATATCACGAACAACACCCTGAACGACCTCCCTAGTTAAGGGGACTTTATCGCCTGCTTGAGAGAAAATGCTGATACCTGGAACACAGGCCAGTTCTAGTAACTCAGTGGGTCACTATCCAAGGATCTCCTGAATCGAAACATAAAATTAATTTGACGCCAATTTTTGGCATTTTAGGATGGGGCGGGGGGCTGAGATGAACCCTTGCCATTGTAATGGATGCTCTCTCGCAGGTTATTGCTTGGGCCAACATCATCCATGCAATATGTTTCTTCTTCAAACAGATAAAAAAAAAGACGTGGCACATCTCAAAAACGGATTGGGGAACGCTGAATGCTTTAGCCTTGCTTCCTGCCTTTTATCACATTGGAGCCCCTCAGCAATACCGCCTAGAGCCTCAAATAAGGTTTTTCGGTGCTTACTGCCGTTAGCATTCATTTTCATCGTTTTTTCCACTTCTTGAAAATCTTCACTTCATAGATGTCCTCAAATATTGCTTCAAAAGCTTAGTTTTACGCCCCAATTTTCGGTCATGATGTTTCATTAAGTGACTCAGTTGCTAGCCGTTTGCAGTCAATAACACTGGTAAAGCACTATCTGCCCTTCGACCCCTCCAAGAACTGACTGGCCATGACTGAACACATTTCTATTGAGCTGGAATTCCGATTGGGCCTACAGAATCCTCCTACATCAGTGTTTTGTCGCCATTAAGTTTTTTTCAGATTTCCTCCCCGGAGAACCCTCGTTTTATTTCAAGAGTTGCCTATTAGTTGGCCTACTATTTGTTGGTTCAGATAGTTGACCTTCACCGAGCTGCTGTTGTTCTGTGTTAATTAACGTAAGTAGCGCACCTAAGTGCGTAATTAACTGAATAACTAAAGTAGTCCCCAGCCGTACGTAACATTGAGGATAAGGAAGCCTAGTGATGTCTTTTTAGTCGTTTATAAACAAAAAAGACGCTCGAAGAGGGTAACTTCGGGCTGGACTGCCAGCCTGTTCTCATGACTCTTCGTACTTGCAGCATAATGATAACTTTTCCAAAGCGGAGCTTTGAACTGTCACTTTCATGTGGAAAACGGATGTGTATCAAAACATCTTCTCGGTGGTAGGGGAGAATAGCAGTTTCGCTTACCTCTCTATAATCCGCTGAACCAACTCAATCTAAAAAGGAACGATGTTGACGATTTGTAACCGCTCGTGAAGACCCGTCTTGTTGCCGGAGATCGCTCGACTGACGAGGGAAGCCCGTAATATCTCGCTCCCCACAAGTGACACTTCCAGCTTTTTTCTTCCTTTCTTATCTGATTGTATTAGCGCTCATTCATTACTGTCTTGCATTCCCTTACACTTTTGCTTTCGGATTCCGTTCATTCTAATGTTTTCTTTTTTGCTCAGCTTTCTTATCGCGGCCTTTCTCGTTCTTCTTCTGTCCCTCCTCTTCTTTAGCCCAATTTGGGAAGTATATGTAGTGGCTGGATAACCCGTATTGCATGTACCTGGTCTAAAATGAAATACCGTTCAGGCCACATTGATGTACCAAGTTAGATAAGACGTGCTTGATTCGGATCCTAGTTGTTCGCAAAACAAACCTGAAATGGATCTGACTACTGCACTGAAGTCCTTGCTGAGGAATAGTACACCCTCGAGCACTTCGTAAACGAAATTATCCACGTCAAAAAAAAAACAATTTATTCAATGTTTCCCTCGCTATGGCTCAGTTCAGATGAAGTGTAATGTTCGAAGCCTTTGTATTGGTGTTGAAAGAAAGACCTAAACCTGACTAAAAAACCTGAGCTTAACTGATCTGAAATGTGAACTAAAATTGCATTATGGATTAGAGACTACCGTGGTACGGGAAGGAAACCGATAAAGGCTAGAGAAGGAGGAGAAATCGAATGCTTATAGTGTGCGGTAAATGAAACAAGGTACTATTGCGTGAACTTGCTTACATTGGAGAGTTCGCAACATAAGAGGGTGTCGAAGAACGTTACAGTGAGAGGAATTTTATTCGGTGGAGTAGACACCGTGGAGAAGCAGACCTAGAGTTTGGTGGGATTCGAAAATTTTTGTTGAAACGTAGAATTTTAGAATTTTTCATAAAAATTGGTAATTCTTAAAGTTTTCTTGTTATCGTGGCATTACACTCACGCATTCCTGCTCCATGGGATGTTTGGCCTAAGTCGATACTTTTTTGAGCACGATGCATGTATGACTCAGAAGAACGGTGAGTAAATCGAGGATCCTTGGTGGGACGGGAGATCAGATTGTGTTAAATTGGTGGAGTTTTTTTTTCAAGAAAGTAGGACTCAAATAAGTTGCGGGTATCTTGGAGATATCTATCAGATTCTGTTTTGGGGATTTTTTAGGGAAAAGTACTTTCAATAAAGTAGGTATGTCCTACTGAAGGAGAGAGGTGGTGGTCGGACCTGTAGATAAAAGTGGTAGGCTCTCAAATGAAGGGTCGTTCTAGCCCCTGGACAAAGGGTCGTTCCAGCCAAATTTTTTCGACACTTCACTTACCTTGCTTGCGTGACGTTGGGACTTGACAACACCATTTTTTACTCCTTATCTGAGCGTGCAGTTTTCCGTAATTAGTGACTAGCGTTTGAAGTCTCCCATCTCTCCCCTATGTTCTCTGCCGAGAAAGGCCAGAGCACAGACGATTAGAGAACGGTGCCTGGCTCGGCTTCAAATCCCAACCAAGAAGGTGAGAGCTCTAGGACTAAGCCTTGAAGGGAGGAGGGACTCCGTAGTGGATGAGCCAATTATATTGTGGCAAAGTTTGAATACATAAGATATCACAGTAATCATAAAGCGCTGGTTAAGCGAGAGAGCGCAGGCGAGAGCGCCAAATCAAAGGCGGTTTCAAAGAGCCGAGTTCAAGTTGTCCGTAGACAAGCGAAACTGTGGGCTTGCATAGCGCGCCTTCTCTGACCCTTCAAACGGCGCTCCTGAATCAATCCCTTGCCTCGGCTAAACGAGGGACGTGCAGTTCTCCTCCTGGGATCGGTCACCACAGTTGCGCCATCATGGAAGCTTAATGCAAGTTTGGGTTAAGACTTAGATTAAGGCTGATGCTTGCACATTGGCTTATGCCTAGACCTATGATTGGGCCTAGGCTTAGTCCTGAGCTTGTTCCGAGCGAATGAACGGGCGTCTCAATTTTAGGTGACCTGACCAAGGGGAAACGCTACGCACCCTGGACAAACAAGCCTTGCAATGTTGCATTGTTCAGCAACTCAAAGTATCCCCTTTCGAACATGATGCATAAGTTCCTCCGCTGCGCTTTGAAGTGACTCTCAGTTTTATTGGCTCAAAGCCCTTTCATTTTCTGGAGGTGTAGTCAATTAGTGAAGGAATAACAAAATAGTGAGCAATACGGCGTAGGATTTCTGCTGACGGCTAAAAAGAAACCCTCGACCTTGAAATTGAAAGAAACCTGAAATTTTCTCTATATAATATCCTCCGAGTCGGACGTTCAAAGTTTGTGAGAGACGGGCAAAGCGGTTAGAAGTTGGCTTACCACAAGTCATTCTATGGCTCAAGAAAACATTCGGAGGATCACAAGACTTCGGTGAAGGTTAGAAGCGTGGCGCATCCCGAATGCGGTTGCTTCCATCACAAATCCTATTATTCCA